ATACTCCTTTCATGAATCTTACCACTAAGGGATGGCTACCAGCAGGTGTATTGTCAGGAAAAACAATGACTGCTGACAATGCACTCCGAGCTGTGTTCAAGCAGCTATATCCAATGCCAGAATGAAAAAGTTCAGTCCAAAATTCAATAACATCTGTTACAGTTGGTTGCAAGGGATCACAAGACCGTTTAGTCGAAAACTTATACCATCTCGTAAGGTAGGTCCTGTACTGTTTCTCTGTTGATTCTCGCCATGATGACATGACAATGTCAATGGCTTGTTCTGAAAGCCATCAGAGTCAACTTGTGGTGGAGTGGGTGAATGGCATTGGGGTTGTATGGCAGCTAGAGTACTTTCTTTCCTTGAGGAAGAATGAAAGGTTCCTGAACAAAGAGGCGCATCAAAACTGGAAACCATGGCTGTGTTGTCCACTATGGCACAATAAGTATCCCGAAGGCTTGGTCGGCTTCCACCTTCTGCAGAACCCTATCAATGAGATTAAAGGGAGGAAAAGCATAAAAATACTGTTCCCCCCAGTCAACAAAAAAAGCATCTATAGAAAATGCACCAGGGTCAGGAAGCCAAGCTATGTAAGGCCTAGTCTGAAAATTAAGCCTGGATGCAAATAGACCAATAGATGGGGCCCCCAGGACTTGTGTGATTGACACATAAATGTTGGAATCAAGCTTCCATTCTGTATGGTCATGAAAAATTCTGGAGGCTTTATCAGCCGCAGTATTACACTTTCCTGGCAAATGTGCGGCAGATAGCCAAATATCCCGTGTAATGCACCACATCCAAATGGTTCTAGTAATGTGATTACATTCAAGTGAATGAGTGCGACCCATATTATTGATGTAAGAAACTGCTGTGGTGTTATCAACAAAAATTCTCGCATGGGTATGAGACAAGGTTGTACAGAAGGACTGTAATCCCAGGTAAGCTGCTTTTAATCCAAGGCAATTAATATGCTTGTGAACTTCATCAGGTACCCAGCGGCCTCCTGATGATTGTCCCTGAAAAACAGCTCCACATCCCTGTAAGGATGCATCTGTATAAAGAATGCAAGACGGATTACCTTGTGAAATGGGTTTAGAGACATTTTCAATGTCATCAACCCACCACTGTAGATCTAACTCTGCAGTAGGTGACAGTACCATGCTTTCATCAAAATTACCATGATGAAACTTAAGGGCTGCAGTTTTGTCATTTTCTAGCTGCCTATAGAACAGGGGTCCCATAGCAACCCCAGGGCAACTGGCCACAAGTTTGCCTATGACAACTGCCACTTCCCTGATGGT